TTTTTAAGAATTTTTGGTTATGTAAATTATTGATATATGGATCATTTTTTAATAATTTTCAAGTTAAAAAAATCTGAGAAAAAAATGATTTCTAAAATTTGACTCTCATCTAAATTTTGTTCTAGCAATTACAAAAACCTGAAAAAATTTAGAGGATCTAGAATTGTGATAAACTATTTGTTCTAATATTTTCAAAACAATTGGTTTAGATTTGGATTTTTAAAGAGAGGATCGATGACTTATAACTGCTACTGTATATACTGTATATTTTCAATATTGATTTTTTTTTTTCAAACAAAAAAAAAACTTATTTCAATTTTGTAAAAAACCTTTTTAGTTATTAATTATAAAAAAAAAATATTTAAACAATAAATTTATAAAATTTAATTAATTTAAATATAAATTTTGTTATAAGTATATCTTAAATGTTTTTGATTAACAATAAAATAATAGAAATTAAATAATTTGCTTAGCTATAGATAATAATAAAAAGATTTATTTTAATGCATTAAAAGTATATTTAAAATCAAATTTTATTTTATTTTATTTTTTTGGAATCACAGGTTTATGAAGTAATAATCTCGAATATAGATTGATTATAACTTTTTAGATTAGATATAAAATACTTTCATATATAATCTTTTCTAAATAAGAAACAACTTTTTTTATTTTCCATAGTTACATCTAAAAAGTTGAAAAAAGTTGAAAAATATTAGATAATTAATATCATATAGTAATAACTTAATAAACTTATTTTCTTGTAGTGAAATAGTTAATAAATAGTTAGATATTGTATTATTGTATCCTTCTTAAAAACCTCGGAGTGCAAATCTGATTAGGAGTAATAAAAGAAAAATGTCGCGTCGTTACATTTGATCATTAAATAAACTGAAGTGTTGGCTTAATCTTGTACGACCATTTTTTACATGTGGAAACTGTACATTAATGGTTTGGTGCAATAATTAAATAAAACAATTATTTCATCGACCCTTTTTGAGTAAAAGATAAACCGCAAATCCAAAATTGGTAGTAATTTACCCATGGAGATATATTACTTAAAAGTCTATACAACCTTACTTGTTATTCTCGAAGTGTTCGTCATGAGTGGGCAAAATATACTTCGAGTTGCTACTTTTAATATTCGTTATGATGGTCACAAAAGTCCACCTGTTTCAGAGAATGAAAACATCGTGATCCCAAGTGCGTTTGATGGTGAACAACCCTGGTATGTTAGAAGAAAAAAAGTTGCTGAGGCTATTCTTTTTCATAGGGTGGATATTATCGGTCTACAGGTATGAAAAGTTTGGATGATTATAGTATAAAATTAAAAGTAACAAACATGAATCATTATTTTAGGAAGTTCTTTATAATCAAGTCAAAGATCTGGAAGTACTGCTTGGAGAAGATTGGCAATGGACTGGTGTGGGACGAGATGATGGAAAGAATAAGGGTATGGAATCACCTAAAAGCGATTTATCTTCAATTTAAAACTAATATACCATTACGTGTTGATTTATCCAGGAGAGTTTGCACCAATCTTTTACAAGTAAAGTATTTGTAAACCTTCACTTGTGTAACAGAGTTGCATGTTTATTGCTAATAATCATTTTGGTTTAAATTTAGAAAACGGTTCAAGCTTCTGGAATCGAAAAATCTTTGGCTCTCCAACGTTCGTACATATTAATTAATACAATTGTCGATATACTTATGTAAAATTATCTACATCTGTTTTTTTTTTTTTAGACTCCAGATGTTCCTAGCAAAGGTTGGGACGCAAGCTTACCTCGTAAGTAATTTGTTATAAATTTCCAGAAGATGATTTATTATTTAATCACACTAATATTTAATGATGTGGAAGGAATCGTTACTCAAGCAAGGTTTGAATTGAAATACATTTCATCAAAACTCATTTTTTTAAATTGTATATTAATTTTTTATGCCATCTTCGATATATAGTTTTCGAGATACATTGACAAACACAACTTTTTGGTTCTTCAATACACATTTTGATGATCGTGGACATATTGCACGAAAAGAAAGTGCAAAAATTTTAATCAAAGAGTATCATGAGTTATCAAAAGTTTGTTCTGATGCGGTAATTTTGACAGGTGATTTCAATTGCAAAGAGGAGGATGATCCTTATCAAATTCTCACAGGAAAAAAATATAGCAAATTAACCCCAGAAGAGTTGGAGTTGGAATCTGCACCGTTTGGAGATACCCGGTATGAGATCAGCCGACCGAAAACAAGTTCTTTTGGTAATTCTGATACATTCACAGGCTTCTCCCCAGATGTGGAACCTATTAGGATTGATTTTATTTTTGTTAGCAATAAGACACTCGGATCTGTTGAAATATCGAACCACGGTGTTATGTCAAACCGTTATGATGATGGAATGTATATTAGTGATCATCGTCCAGTTATAGCAGATTTAATTTTTAAAACAAACGTGTCATAAATTTACATAAATTTAAAAGTATAATTAATTTTTAAATTTTGTATTTTTATTCTTTAAATAATTGAAACTTTTTATTTGATTATATAATTAATTTAAAATACTGTAAATGTTTATTTTTTATAATTATGGTGTGGGTGAAAAATAATTGAACAATACATCAAATTTTATTTTGCGATACTTCAATAACGAACTGATAAAGTAAAATAAAAATTTATATTAATATAGTTAAGAACATAAAAAATAAGTTTACTTAATAAAGTTTTTAAATATGCTATTAAAATTTTATTAAAATTTAATTTAAAAAAATTTTTTTAAAAAAACATAAGTGGTTTTAGTTTCATTATAAATAAGAATAATAAAAAATTATTAAAATTATTTCAATGCATAATTTGTTAAATAAAAGTAAAAATAATAATAAAAATAATATAATAATATTTTTTTATTATTAAGTATAAAAAATTATTTACTAATTAATTTAATATCATATTTAATGAAATTTAATTAAAAAAACATAAATTTTATATTAAATATAAAGTTTTATAAATTTTAAAGATTTTTTGAAATTAATTTTATATAATAAAAAAAAATAAAATGATTTTATTAACATTTATTAAATATAATAAATAAATTTTTTGTAAACTTTTTATTATTTAATAAACAATTAATATAAATAATATTTAACTTACAGTATAAATTAATAATATAATAGTTAATGTTTTCAAATTATTATTACAAAATATCAAGTTTAATTCAAGTAAAAGCAATTAGACAAATTTATATAATATTAAATATTATAATTTATTTAATATCTTTTTCTATATAAAGCTATTTATATGTTAATTCAATAAGATATTAAAATTATAATACTATAAAAAAAGAAGTTATAATATAATAATTATTTAATTTGATATTATAAGCAAGTAAACAGTTAGTTTTTTTGCCTCAGTTAGGCTAAAAATTAAAAACAATAATATATTTGATTTTAAGCAAGTTAATAATTATTTTCTGTAATACTAATGTTTTTTTTAATTTAGACTATAAGAATAATCCTATTTCAATTCAATGATAATTGTTAATTATTTCAAAAAAGACTTTAAAAAAATCTTAAGTAATTAATATTTTTTGAAAAAAGTTATACATTAAAACAATAAGATTTGTTATAAGCTTTCTTGAATATTTCAGATTAATGTTAGAATAATAAAAATTAATAATAACATATTTTGTTTTTACAATCAATTTTATTTATTTATTTTTTTAGATAGATAGACATACCCACTCTTAGTTATTTTCAATATTAGTTATCCAGTCCATTTTTGATAGTAAAGAATTTTTCAGACCGTTGAAAGTTTGATTTTAAGAACTAATTTTTGAAAAATCTGAGTTTCATTTTATTAGATATGTATTGTGTAGGTAAAAAAATAAATTATATATACTTACTGTTTATAAGAATTATACAATATTTGAATAATTACCAAACCACTTAATATTTTAAAGTATAAGAAAATTAAAAATATATTTAATTATACTAAATTGTATACCGATTTTATTGAAAGTATAAAGTTTTGAAAAAATAAGTAGTTGATTATTTAAATATTTCCCGAATTTTTTACACTATATTACGTGGGAATATCCCAACCTTCTAAAAAATGATTCCAATTTGGAAAATATTGTTACAAATAGTGGTTTTTTACAACAGTTAATCGCCCTCAGAAAAGCGGAAATTATTGACAAAGAGCATATATTGTCTGTATCTTAGAATAATTAGACATTACCAGATAGTCTTTGCGAACATATTTTTTTAGGAATGCAAGTCTGCTGCAGCTTTAAGAGTCCACCATTCGCAAGTACATTTGAATTCTTGCGCAAAATAAAAATATTAATAATAAATAGAATGGTGTATTTCCATTTACTGATATCAAAAAACCGCCATTCTTTATCCAGCCATTATACTAAGTTTCTCTGCAATTGCACGTGGAGTAAGTTCTTCATCTCCAAATACATGAGCTTTCGTATTTCGCTTTGTGATGGCATCGATATCAGGCTTCAAGTTTTCCAACTCCTTCAATTGTTGTTTTTCAAAAGCAATCTGTTTTTTAACGTATTCTTTGATCGCTCCAAGAAAATCTTGGGTACGGTATTCTTCGTAGATTTTTAACTCTGAGTGAAGGTTGTTTGTTACGCGTTTTGCACGTGCATCGAGCGTTTGCTCATAATATTTTGCCTTTGATTTTAAAAATGTGCGAATCATAAATCTAATGTATCGAGACATTGTAACAGTAAAGGGAAAAAAAACATACTTCATCCAAATCTTCTAATGCTTCATCTACTTTATCAGATTTGATGGACGTGGAAGACTTTAGTCGTTCAATGTTACGGCGTTTACTTATGGTGGACTTCACTGCATTGTCATGTTCAGAAATTATTCTGAGGCGGTTTGTTAGAGTTTCCTGTTATACATAAAGGTAAATATATTTCGTGAAAACATACCGCGAGTTTGAAATTATACAAACCTTAACTACATGTGCATTAGCCGCATAATAACTAAAGAAATCCCCCATGGCTGAAGCTTCGCTTACAGCTTGTGATTGTTGTAATTTGCCAATAACCTGAAATACCTTGCCAAGTTTTCGCAGACCACTAAGGATAAATACGGAATTTATTAATTAAAGATTTAATATTATCAATATTCAAATGTAAATTATATACTAAATACTTTGATAGTGAAGGATGACTTTCAACTGTACCCATAGCAAGGAATTTGGCGCCAAGTTCGATATTATACACAGATAATCCTAAATTGTATTAATATAAAGTTGTAAGAACTTTGAGGACCATCGATAGAAGGATTCAAACCTGAAAAATGTAACTCTATAGCTATAATGTATTTATATACCTTTTCGAGATCTAGCCAACCTCTGGGCAGCTTTGGCCGTATCTAGGAAATGGCCCTCAAGTGCATGTACGATAGACTTGGCTTGGACTAATTTTAAATCATTATCTTTCATATCTGAAGAAAATTTAAGTCTAAAACTACCGCTTCTTTTTCGTGGTTTTATGGCAGGAATAAACTATCATTTTAAAAACAATTAGCAAAATTATATCTGTCAATTCACGCCGAAAATTTATACTCACAGCAAAATCAGTTTCTATAAATGACCTTAGCTCTTCGTCATGATACAACACAGGACTTTTTGACACGCGACTCAACCATAATTGCATCGCGTGTTTAACCCTACGTTCGTCTTCGTCACCTGATTGATAACTGGTAATCGAGAAGGGTAGTGCAGGAACTATACACTCTGGATTAGAATAAGCCAAAGCACTATACAACCGTTCGAATTCAATATACGAGCGTTCGACTTGAGGATATGAGTTAAGTTTGAATCTAGGTAAATTTGTCTAAAAGAAATTTAAGTTAGCGAAGTCCTTGGAACAATATTGGGCCTTTGAGTAAATTCATACATTGACTTTAATTTTAAAGACCGGATCGCGGCGACTTTTGTCTAAAGATACAACTGTCATTTTAAGGTAATAGCCTTCTTCTTGAGTAGGTTGTGGGAAAGTGCCATTCCTCTGTTTCGTACGAGCAGCAGCTTTATTGGACGTTACTTGAGTTGAACTTTCGTTCCCATTAACTATAGGTTCTTGTGGCACCGCCATGACAAGTGTAAATGTATGCTAAAGATTCTAGAATCTTATATTTATGGTGAAAAAATTAGATCTCGATAAAACTATTAAAAATTACAGTATATTCGCAGTGGCGTTTCTTATAATGACGACAAAACAATGTTATAGGTGTTGGGCCTGTGAATCCGTGATCAAAGTCTCGTGCACAAGGCGTACAGGAGAGCAACCAAACATTCCAACTAGTTGATGTGTACCACGTATTAATACTAAGAGAATTTGAAATTTGATTATGAACTGTGCATATTGATAATTGAATTACTCGAAATAGATATCTGTTTAAAATAAATTTAGTAATTATGTTGTATAGATGATGAATGGAGTCGTTTATAAATTGGTTATAATATGGTTAGTGACGTATCTCTCCGGATACTATATGTTGTATAAGTGGTTGATTATTCGAGTATTCAAATTTTTTTTTTGGTTGACTATCGAAACTATCAAAATTTATTCTATTTGTCAGCATATCAATTTATTTATTGAATTTGCCAAGAAATCAATAATTCGTAATACACAGTAGAAATAAACAGTGGGGTTGAAATTAATTTCAACTAATCTACATCCGAGTGTAGCATGTATACATGATATTACCTGTAGGGTTTTTATAACAGTTTTTAAATTTTATATCTTAAATATCTTGTATAATAATAATTGATAACCGTAATTGAAAAGTGTTTGTAATAATGATTTTTTAATATTAAAAATGTTAGTAATTTTAGATTAAATAAAGAGAACTTGTATTAAATACTGTATATTATTCAGTTTTTAATATTTAGATAGAACATTTTTATAAGTTATAAAAACCAATTAGTTAAAGTATAATAATATTATTTCAATTAAAATATTTATTAAAAACAATATAAATTTGATTTAAAAAAAATATATTTTTCTTTAAGACAAACCAGATTTTTTTTTTTTTTTTATAAATAAATATGCAATAAAACAAATCTTTATTGATATTTGCATAATGGAAATATATCAAGTATCTTTTATAATTGGAACAATTACTATTTGTATTAATTATGTCTGATAATAGTTCTAACTATAATTAATATTATATATGTGATGGAATTGAATTCAACCATTTTTCAAAAACCATATTATGATAGAATTACTAAGTAATATATAATAAATAATTGGAATTCATATTTAATTCGGAATCGTATTGTTGATCAAATTTTCTTTTATGGTAATACGACCACATGTATGATTAATATTATTTATTACCTGTTATAGTAATAGCTTATTATCTATCTTAAATTCAACTATAAGAATTTTATATTAAATGTAAATCCAACATGTTAAGTGGAGTTTCTATAGGGAAGAAATGCCTACTACTAGTTTAAATCACTTAACCTATAATCTATTTATAAAGAACTATATTTATCTTATAAAAGTTGATAGAATTTTCTGAATATCTTGATATTTTTTATTTGAATTCTTGAAAAAAATACTTGTTTTTTATCACTATCTATGACTTCAATAAATCCTTTTCCAAAGATCCACTTTTTTTAAACAAGTATTAAATTGAGATAATTTCAAAACTAGGAAATCCTGAAAGAAAGTTAAAATAAAACTTATTGAATATAACATATACAAAGGAATCTATATAATCTATATATAAAGAAACTTTACAATAATCATTATATATCAATCGGATAACTATTACATTATAATACCTTAATAGGAAAATTATACAGAGAACCCTTTCTAAATGCTCTCTCTCTAAATGCACACTCTCTTTAAATGCACTATTAAGCTTGGTCCCAAGTTGAACAATATTATTAAATACACATCTCTAATTTTTACATGTGCAAAAAAATTTTAAATTTATTATATTAAAATTTCCTCTATAAATGCACAACACATGATTATCATGTGATATTATATATTATAAAAAAAAATTTAAATATGTATGCAATATTGATTATCATAATTAACATACCTAAAATATCTTTATCAGATTATCAAAAATATGAATTTTGTCTTTATGCCCATAATAATGAAAAAACTAGATCAGAATATGTAAAATGGATTAAACAAAAATGGAATATTAAAATTAGTGAATCAACAATTACTAGACTTCTTCAAACAAAAAACAAAAGACTTTCTGTTAAACTTACAAATTCACAAGTAAAAAGATATAGATCAGTTACTATTTCAAAACTTGAACTTGCTCTTAAGGAATTTATATTAGTTTATCAAAATAAAATAATTTTAAGTGATGCTTTAATTATTGAAAAAGCAAAATTATTGGTGAATGAATTAGATATTTCTGAAAATATACTAAAGTTTTCTAATGGATAGTTACATAAATTTAAGGAGTGTAATGGAATTCATCAACAAAAATTTTATGGCGAAGCTGTATCTGTTGATCAAAATATCATAATAAAAACTTTACTATTGTTACAAAACAAATGTAGTAATTATCCTCTCAATCAAATTTACAATATGGACGAAACTGGTCTTTTTTATAGGTAAATATATGCATACAATTTTTTTTTTATACAGTAGTTTATTTATTTATTTAATGCTATTACAGATTGAAACCAGATCGAACATTAGTATTTCAATGTCTTGCAGGACGTAGAAAAAATAAGGAACACTTGTCTATTAATTGTGTGCAAATACTGATGGATCACATAAATTAAATCCTTTTATTATCAGAAAGTTTGCCAATCCCTGATGCTTTAAAAATATAAAGATTCAAAACTTACCAATTAAATACCGAAGCAATTCTAAGGCATGGATGCTTACCATTAATTTTCAAGAGTGGCTTCGAGAGTTTAATTATCAAGTAATGCAAAAACACAAAAGTTAACGTGTTCTTTTATTATTTGATAATTGTTCAAGTCACAATATTGAAGATATAAAACTCAATTATGTTGATGTTTATTTTCTTTCTCCTAATACCACCTCAAGAATTCAACTGATGGATGCTGGAATAATTATGGCTTTTAAAAGACATTATCGGTGTTTTCATCTTCGATAAGTTATATTTTATCATTTATTACATATGATAATTATACATATTTTTTATTTATTAATTTTCTTTCTCCACTACACTTATTACCTATTCCCCTACTCTTTACCTATTATTTTTATCTTTATTCATTCACCTATTTTACTATTCTTTATTTATTTATTTTTTATTTATACATTTGTCTATCCCTATATTTGTTTATTTCTTTTAATTTCTTTGTTTATTTCTCCCACTTTTAAATTTACCATTCATTTTTTCCTCCTTATACATTCCTATTTTACTTTCTCCATTTGCCTTCCTTACTATTCTTGCCATTCACCTTTTTTACCATTTGTTTCCCTTGCCATCCATCTTCCTTACTTATTTCCTGTTATTTATTTGTTTTTTCTTCTTTTTTTGTTTACTTCCCTTATTATTATCTTGCCATTTGCCTTCCTTCCTTGCTATTTACTTTCCTTGTCATTTGTTTTCTTTTTTCTTTACCTTCCTTCTTCACCATTTGCTTTTCTTGCTATTCATCTTGTCTTCCTTGCTTCTTCTTTTCTTGTTGACCTCTTTTATCATTCTCTTGCTGTTTTTCTTCCTTCCTTGCTATTCATTTCTCTTGTTGTTCATTCGCTTTATTTCTTTGTTCGCCTCTTTTCCATTTGTTTTTTGTTTTCTTTATTCGCCTCACTATTCTATTACTATTCGCTTTCCTTGCCATTTATCTTGTCTTCCTTGCTTCTTTCCTTGTTGGTCTCTCTCACCATTCTCTTGCCATTTTTCTTTCTTTCTTGTCATTTGCTTCTCCTGTTGTTCGTTCACTTTTTTATTTCTTTGTTCACTTCTTTTTCTTATCATTTGCCTTCCTTGCTGTTTGTTTTCTTTTTTCTTTGTTTGCCTCCTCATTATTCTCTTACTATTCACCTTTCTTGCTGTTCGTTTTGTCTTCCTTGCTGTTCGTTTTGTCTTCCTTGCTTCTTTTTCCGTTATTTGTTCATTCTATTCTCCTTTCCTTGTTGACCTTCCTCCTTTACCATTCACTTTTCTTGCCGTTTGTCTTGTTTTCTTGCTTCTTCTTTTCTTGTTGGCCTCCCTCACCATTCTTTTGCCATTTTCTTTTTTTTCTTGCCATTTGCTTCTCCCGTTGTTCATTTGCTTTATTTCTTTGTTTGCCTCCCTTGCTGTTCATTTTCTTTTTTTTTGTTCGCCTCCTTATTATTCTCTTACTTTCACCTTCCTTTTTCACTATTTGCCTTCCTTTTTCACCATTCGCTTTCCTTGTTCATCTTGTCTTCTTTTCTTTTTTCATTATTCGTTTGTTCTATTCTTCTTTCCTTGTTGACTTCCCTTACCATTCGCTTTTCTTGCTATTTATCTTATCTTTCTTGTTGATCTCCCTCACCATTCGCTTTTCTTGTCATTCGTCTTGTTTTCCTTGTTGACCTCCCTTACCATTCTTTTGCCTTTTCCTTTTTTCCTTGCCATTTGCTTCTCCTGTTGTTCATTCACTTTATTTCTTTATTTGCCTCCCTTGCCATTTATTTTTTTTTTTCTTTGTTCGCCTCCTTATTATTCTCTTACCATTCACCTTCCTTTTTTACTATTTGCCTTCCTTTTTCACCATTCGCTTTCCTTGTTTGTCTTGTTTTCTTTTCTTTTTCCATTATTCGTTCGTTCTATTCTTCTTTCCTTGTTGGCTTCCTTTACCATTCACTTTTCTTGCCGTTCATCTTATCTTCCTTGTTGTTCTCCCTCACTATTCGCTTTTTTTTCATTCATCTTATTTTCCTTGTTGATCTCCCTTACCATTCTTTTGCCATTTTTCTTTTTTCCTTGCCATTTGCTTCTCCCATTGTTCGTTCGCTTTATTTTTTTGTTTGCCTCCCTTGCTGTTCATTTTCATTTTCTTTGTTTGCCTCCTTATTATTCTCTTACCATTCACCTTTCTTTTTCACCATTCACTTTCCTTGTTCGTCTTGTTTTTTTTTCTTTTTCCGTTATTCATTTGTTCTATTCTTCTTTTCTTGTTGGCTTCCCTTACCATTCGCTTTTCTTGCTATTTGTCTTGTCTTCCTTGTTGTTCTCCCTCACCATTCACTTTTCTTGTCATTCGTCTTGTTTTCCTTGTTGACCTCCCTTATTATTCTCTTGCCGTTTTTCTTTTTTCTTTACCTTTTGCCTTCTCTGCCATTTGCCTTCTTCACTTTTTATCTATTCAATTAGATGGATATTGGAGCAAGTCGAAGCAGGACAGTTTATACAAGACTTAAAGATAAGTATACTTCAAGTAATTCAATTTATTATTGAAAGTTGGAATGAAATTACCATCAAAACAATTTATAATTGCTGGCGCCATACAAAGATCCTTTCCATTAATGAAAATAATAACGATGTTGACAATTATGATGATAATGATAATGAGCTTAATGAACTTACTGAGATAATTAATACTCTCCATTTTCCTCAAGCAATGAAAATTGATGAATTTTTAACCATTTCTGATGAAAATATTATCTATAAGATTTCTGACAATGATGAAGTTATTACAGAACTTGCAAAAGTATTTAGAGAGGAAAAAAATGAAAATTTGGATGAAATGGATGATAGCATTGAAACAATCGTTATTAGTGTTAATACTTTATTAAAAAATTTAGAAAATATTCGTACATTTTTACTTCAACAAGAAGGGACAGAAAAAGAATTAAAATTAGTAATAGTCTTGAAAAATTTGTTAGAAAAAAAAAATTAGTTTAATGCAACAGACTCACGTAAATGAGTATTTTTTTTTTTTTTCCCGTAATCAAACAAGTATTTATTGTGTTTATTTAATCTTGTAAAAGAAGACATAATTGTTTATAGACATTTATGCATAAACTAATCACTTATACTTGAATACCCGTCTTTGGCTATTAACCTCTAGATATGATTTTGAAGATAAATAAAGTTGCTCCCTTTCATTTTCCATTCCTGGAAAAATTCCAGTTCATCGCCTGCAGTTCATCACTACAGTTCACCTTGGCAATATCTTGATTACGTTATATTCCTAACCATTTTTTTTTTTCTTTGATTTTGCTTCATAACACCTTTGCAATTCCTGATATATAGTCTAAACCGGTCTTTGTTGAGGAAGATTCTCCTGGCTTGAATCCTAGTGAATCTTGATGGTGGGTCTTCTTTCCTTTTCTTTTTGGATTTTGGGGATGGCTTGGGTCTTGGTTAGAGGAGGAACTGGCCTTGCCCTTACCCTTTTCCAAAAAGTGCTTTTTGTGTTCTTGTACCTTTTCACACCTTGGGTTCCAAATTTGTTGTCTAATTCTCTTACACCAAAAGTCCGAGATTTTATTGAGAGTTCTTCTAGCTGGAATTTTGGAAATCTTTATGGGTCGAAGTAGATTAGTCCATTCTCTTGTATCTTCTTTTGTCCAGAGGCCGATGACTATGTTGATCAGTTTCTTGGCCGAGTCCAACTTTTCGACTTCCCATTTGTTTACCAGTTCAATTATTGCCATGATATTTGCGTCTTCCTTTTTATTTATCTGTTGAGGTATCCATGTCTTGATGAGCTTGTCTTGGATCTGGCTCCATATGTCTTTTTTGATTTCCTGTACTTTTTTACATGTCAAAAGATGATCTATGGTTTCTTCCTGAAGTTGACAAAATACACACAAGCTATTGGATGTTTCTAGGGCTCCCCTCTTAGCTAAGGTATTCATGGTCGGAAGCTCATTATGAATGAATTTGGCTTTGAACGTTCTACTTTTTGCTGTTTTTATGGATATTGTTAAGGACCCTTCCCCCTTACTAAAGTCCCATAGTCCTTCCCAGTCGAATTTCTCGGGGTTTTGGATTTCTTCTTTCCACTTTTGTTGTATCTGGTTTTGTGATATCCATTGCATTAGTACTTCTCTTTCATTATAGTCTTTCAGGAATGCTCTGGTTGAGATATCGATAGGAATCCTGTTCCACTCTGGCACCATAATTGGAGTTGTTTTCGATAGAGGTTCCCATTGAATTTCTAGTTCCTCCTTAGCCAATTTCGCCAGTTGATCCACTTGATTGTTGAAGGCATCTTTACTATGGGCTTTGACTTTTGTTAATTTAAGGTGCAGACTCTTTTTGTTAACAATGCTGATTAGTCTTGACCAAAGCTGCCAGTTTGGTTTCTTTATTCGTTTCTTCAGTATATTTTTGGGATGCTATTTGTTTATAAGCGAGTATGTATCTATACAGGCAGAGCTATCCATTCTTATCTCTACTGTACTATTGTTTGGAACTGAAAGGGTTGCCAGGAGGATTGCTGTTAATTCTGCTCTGGTTGACGAGGGCCAATTGTCCACTGCTGCCTGAAATGATCTGCCTGAATTTGGTTCCTCTGTTTGAATCCATGCTGCACCCATTCTTAGAAACTGGTCTTGTGTCTGTCCTAATGAGCCGTCTGTATAGAATTGATATGCACCAGTGTAGTTTTGTCTTATATTTTGATGGTATTCCTTATATAGCAACGTGCGAAGATCTCCTGCCGCTATGTTTTCATATATGATCTGCTTTCCATAGTCTTCAATTTCAACAGAATGAAATTTAGATGTTGGTATATTTTGGGGATATATTTTTTCCATCTTGGTTCTGGCCAGGTTTTCTAATGTATGGACTTCTACTGGAATGGTTGGCCTTTTATTTCGCCAATATTTTTTGATGTTATTGATCCATGCAAATGTGAGTAAGAAGTTTTCTCCTGTATTTCTATGCTCTGGGAATGTTTTCGTGAATTTGGTTGTTCCTGGAAGAGTACTGGTGTTGATTTGGAAGTGTTCGGCCATACAGTTGGTAGTTGTAAGTGCCCCCTTGCTCCTAATCCAGTACAGTTCTTTGTTGGTATTGTTCATACTCACTTGCCAACTCCATCTTCTTAAATCCATTGGCCTTTCTGATGTGAAAAGTGATCTGTCTTGCTCTATCCAGTTATATCTTGTCCAATTTGTCTTTAGCACTCCGAATTCATTTGCTAATATTTGTTTTACTAAGAGATACCATTTTGGAATTGGTCCTCGCCCTTGGCTCTGGGGTTCCTGGAGCAGTTTCCAGTTCAGGAGGCTGCTTGATTCTTTGTCTATGAGCTGATCCATGAACATTATATTATGTTTTTTCAAATTATACACCGCTTTCTCATATACTTTGGAGTCGTTTAACAAGGTTTTGATTGTAATGTGTCCCCCTTCCCAATGGAATATGTTTCTCCAATAAGAATCTGAGAAGGTCATTCCCAGTTTATTGGCCATTTTGATCATTTGTGCTGAGAAGTTCTTCTTGTATACATTGTGTGATGTGTCTTCAGCTAGTATGTTTGCAGGCTCCCAATGTTTAACTTGAGCTTGCTTCAGACGTATTAGGGTGGATGTACCGGGGTGTTCCATATTGTTGAGGCGGTTTATGAAGTTAGTAATTTGATTTTCGATTTGAATTTCTCTTACACTTTTAATTTTGTAGAATGCTTTGTAGTGTATAGCTGAGTTTGGCATTGTTTTTGTGATCTTGGTTGCCTGCTTAAGGGCTTTTCTAAGTTGTGCTGAGAGAATATTGGTTGCGAGGATTCTTATCGAACTGTGTTGCATCCTATATTCGATTCTGGGGATAAAAACTCTATTGATTATATATTCAGCGTGTTTGTCTGTTATTAGCTTTTTTCCCAGATTTGGGAGCACTGCTTGAATTTCTTGGCGAATTCTATTAGCTGTATCCTTGATTTGATCTTTGTTGCCCAATCAGATGTCCAAGAATCTCGAATGGCATTTGCGATCAAGTTCTATGACCTCTTCTTGATTGATTCCGATCTGAACTTTGTTGGGCTCCTTATTTGAACTATTGATCGTAATCAGTACTGATTTGTTTCCATTGATTTGAGAGTCATTGGCTGCATAGAAACCCTTTACCCTTTCTAAGATGTGTCTCATATCTTTCTGGGACCTGGCTATCCAAGTGGTGTCATCCATATAGGCTATTGCAGCTTGTCTTATTGATAGTTTCTTAAAGGCATCAGGGTCAGTTATTGATTTGCTAAAGTTTGCTGTCCATGTACAACTCGATGTATAGCCCAAGTTTGGATTTTCTTGAATCTCATAAAGGAGAGGATCATAGAAGATTCTCCACAACAGAGGTGATAATGTTTCTCCTTGATCAATACCATCACCTGCT